GGAGCGAGGAGGAAGAGAAGGAGCAACGGCAGGAGAGATCGAAGACGAGAAAGAAGAAATGTCGCCGCGAGCGCGAGGTCAGAGCTGCAGCTTTCTCCGAGTGGCAGAGGCTGGTAGCGAGCGATCGAGAGTAAAAGCTGTCAAGGGGAGAGAGAAAGAGAGAGAGAGAGAGAGAGAGAGAGAAAGAGGAGCGAGCGGGGCGAGTCGCACGGCCGAGAAGAGAGACAACGTCGGAGAGAAAGGTGAAAGCACTCTCACCTCGGCTTACCGTCGCCCATGGAGGATCGCGTTGGCTTTTTATATCTCTAAGACGCTCGACAAAAAGGACCACAGGGGTTTAAGCGCGCCCAGAGATGCATTCGTTGATCTCGATAAAACGCTAACGAGATCACTCTCCTCCCGTGCACGCTCCGTATACGACTCTATCTTTCTCTCCGATGAAGCACGGGGCCGATGAGCTAATCGCCTCGTATAAATGTGGAATAGACGATATGCTCGGAAAGGGGGTATCGTCGACCGCGGACGTAGACCTCGCATTCGCGCGCGCGTCCCGACTCGGCATGGTAGTCGTAAAACAACGACCATGAGGCGAGTAATTGCGAAAGCCGCACAACGGTGCTGGTACTACGCACTCGTATCTATTATTACCCGACGTTCCTTTTCTCCGCTGACGTATTCAGGGCCGTCGCCGCGCGCGCTGAATCCTTCCGTTCGGATTAGATACTTCTTGCTGTCCGAATCGTATCTGTCGCGGTAGTCCCGCTCCGAGACAAAAATGTGATTAATGACGCGCGCGGCTTAGCAGCGTCGCTGAACGGCCGATTAAGAAGGAGCAGCATCCTTGGAACGAAAAGGTTCGACGAGAAGGATGCAGCACGGTCTGCCGGGGCGATTCGCGCGTCGCCGTGAGTGATCAGCTCGTAAACTGACCGGATATCGATCGCCAGACATTGTCGGAGAGGAGGGAGGGACTTTAAATCCACGGGATCTTTTGGATATTTTTTTTTAAATGCCCGGCAGAGAACGCACGTGGGCTCTTCCCGCGCTGAGTTAAAGGGACGATATCTTGAACGATGCAACTGCCATCGCGCGGTACACCGTGCAAGTCGATCGTCAGGTGCATGTAAGTTCGCGGACGACAGATGGCAGGCCCGCGTTCGTGCAGTCCGCGGACAATGTCAATGTCAACGAGCACGTGAGCAGCCCCGCTCGAGGTAAAATCGATACGACTCAGTGTCAAAGCTTTTCCCGGAGAAAGGCGCGCGCGAGTTGCGTTAGCCCCCAAATATGCGTCCCCGGTTGCGTAGGAAAGACGATCCCGCATTTGCACGTTGCATTGGAAGTCATGATACCGGTGTTTCGAATTGCGAGAATTCAGCGCAATCACCTACGCAGTCACGGCCACATTCGTCACGAGCGAGTCTACGATAGAGATATAACAAGGATGATTAATGCGAGATTTCAGCAATTGAAAAAATATCTCCTCCTCGAACGACACTTTAGACACATCACATCGACGCGCGCCACTTAACCGCATTAATCGATATCAATAATAATTCAAGCGTGCATGGAGGGTGACTGACCAGCTTGATTATCTCGCAAATAAACGTCCCGATCCCGTCTGAGCTTTGACGCTTTGGTGACCGAATGGCTCATCGCGACGGAGATTTACCATGCGAGAGCTCGCTTCTTTTCCGCGACAGAGAGAAGCACCGTATTTACGGTGTCATTACGGCACATACAACAAGCGTCATTAGACTGGTCCAGTTCTACATCACTACCCGCGGCCGATCCTGCGCGGAACGACGGTGACGAGCAACACATCCTTCCAAAGGGATGACCTCCTCGAAATAAGGAACCGGCAAATTGCAAGGCTGTTCGCGAGACAGCCCTAGTCGTTGCGAAAATAGAAAATGTCACGAAATCCCGAGGGAGTCGTCGAGATGAGACGTTCGAGCGCTTTCCCTTCTTCTTCTCACACCCGTCGCAAATGAGATATACGATTTTTCTCACGCATCTTCGCGCATCTTTTCCAAGTTATTCTTGTCCGAGTTCACACAATCGCGGGACAGTATCGCCAATCTAGCGCGTTTTTGTCTACTCTGACGAACAAAGAACGAACCTTTGATACGTTGCTGACGTTTGTCGACTATCTGCGTCCCGCTGATCGGATCCAGGGCGGTGCTGTAGTCGATGATCGAGCCGCGGATGATGACCGCGTTCTCGTTCGTGTCATCGCGCACCACGACCGTTGTCATGCTCGTGCTAATGACAACGCGTTAAAGCACCACTGTCCGCGACGACGGGAAAGGTAATGCGTACTCGGGGCTTGATATGACCATGAATGATACGGCGGGGTGAAACGCGGGATGGCAACATTTTGCGCAAGCGCCAGTGCGGCCACGCTATTTGGGGGAAACCTACCCGGCGTGGTCTACGCTCAAGTCGCAAAATTCCGAATTGCATGATCAAATAAACGAGAGTGACCCGGATCCGGGCGAGAATTCGGCCTCACCACTGTTTACGTTCCGATACTTCTTATTGCGTCACGCGTATCGTGACGCGGATTGATAATGAAAATATAAACATAGATGGAATGCTTCCGATTTTGTTTTCCTTTTTCTTTTGCGAATTATAGCTTTTCCAAGTCAAGTCCTGAAGTCACACGAAATTTTATTTAGAAGAATGTAGACATGAATCTACAAATTCCATCGGATTTGAACCGACAGATAACCTCACGTTATTCATACAGGCTATTGTCACATCTTAATACTACAGTTACTTATGGTCGCTTCTTCTATGGAAAATTGTGTTCTTAAAAAGCACTTATTTCACAATTATTAAACACTCGATTATTTTAAAATTCTATCCTTATTCTTAATCTCGATAAACAAATTATGTAATATACTGTATATTATGTAATATACTGAATTGCATATAAAATTATGTGACATAAGCAAATATTAAATAATTAATACGGGCTTGATAATTATAACTTAATAGTTGTAATGTGAGACATTGATGGGATAAACATTTTATTTTTTTCATTTTTTCCTTTATCAGCGTTGGAAATGTTCAACGCTGCGATAGAAATTGTTTTATCAGCGATAGAAATTGGAGGCTCGAGTTGTAAAGGCAAACATAATTATTGTTTGTCTAATAATGTTGCGCATTAATAGAAATTAGAGAGAGCGTTTTTAGAGGTATTGATCAGCACTTGCAAGACTCATCAGATTCCTCATTTCGACTCAGTATATATCCGTTTATTCTCGCCAAGTTCGTGTCAGACACGTTCGCTAAAATCGGAAACATCCTGTATAATAAAAGATTTAACACACCTCGAAATATACGATGTGTCGTTGGCCCGGCATCCTGGCTTCACGATTCAATATCTAGACTCTTGGCTACTCTTCGTGGCGCTTTGCGCTAACACTAACACTGACACTCGCGTAGGTACGACTCGATCAGAGAAACACGTGTTGAGGAACGCGATGTCGACGAGAGCCCGATGAAATATTTCCAGAACCGACAAAATATTTCGATCATCCCTGGTGGGGATGATGACTAACGCGCGAATCGATACACGACGAGATATGTTCGTCGGCTCAAGACAGAATGACGCGGTCACGGACAAATAGGTGCGCGGCGTGAGACAATATCAGAGCAATTGGCAAAAACAGCGTGTTTACCTCGCGCCGATATTGTCGATCAGTGGCATACATTCAACGGCGGCGTGAAATCATAACAATGCCTCCAAAACATTACAAACAGCGAGAATTATCAAAATGAACAAAACGAACGGCCACGTATAAAAGTGCCGCTTTCGTTTAACGAATGATCGATTCGTATTCTTCTACACAAAAAACGAGTATGATGCAATTATACTTGACTCTGAAAGTCTCGCCAGTACTGGTCGATGTCTCTGACAATGCTGCCACTCCTTTCCTCTTTTGGAATTTCCAATTCTATTGAGATTTACGACGCTAATAAAAAGTAATGAGCAGATTGTGAAAAAGGAAAACTTGTCGTCTTCTTGACGCATTAATTTATCGATTACCCATACTAATTATTTAAATGTTGCTTATCGCACGTACTTTATCTGCAGTTATGCAAGTTATACATAATAAATCGATTTCATTAATTCATTTGCCTCAATTTATTCATTGAAATCAAAAATAAAAAAATTTACTACAAATAGAATATCGAGACGATTACATCGATCTTTTTCTAATGTGTCACAGTTACCAGCGTCATACATGTGCGGCGTAGCGATTTCTTCCGAGAAACCGACGTGTGTGTGACGGCGGTAACTTTTCATTTTACCCATACAAACAAATTGAATCAGTTTTACACTGTTACATAAAGACAATATAAGGTAACTTGTGAAGACGGTTTTGCAAATAAACCATAGTACGGAAAGCGTTTTACCTCAATACGGAAAGGAAATAGCATTCGGTGTAACCATTTGTAACATCGAAGGACTGCACAATAACCTGCTATATCTTGAAATTTTCCAGTGATCTTTTCTTTTCACAATTGAACGGAATTTATAGGGTTAACGTGAAACTTATAAATTTCAACTGGGCAATGTTTCAAGTTTATGCACGACGGAAACCATTGAGAAATAGTAACGGCGGAGCGCAAAAATAGAACTGAGACAAAACGAAAAGTGGAAGTTATAATTAACAATAAATCGCTACTAATAAAACAATGCAACACGAAGCGCTCAAGCGATGTTGATCGATACAATCGCTTGAGATCATGAACACGTGTTTGCTGGCACGCAAAAAATTTGTAAGCTTTGACTAAAAGAACAAATTAAAGTTTACGCGTCTAAAATCTTCAGTCCGACGGAAATCCCCGCGATTTTCGCAATTCTTTCTCTAAATATTGTTAAGTATATTTTATATACATTCGAGTGCGACGTACATATAGCGTCGTCATCACAGTCAGCCTTGTGCATTTCAACGTTATTTTGCGACTAATGAGAGATTACTTACTAGTTGGTGATTCGACCACCATCGCAAGTTGTTCGACCGGCATATCGGACTTACCTGCAACAGAAAAGACGAAAATCTAACATTAGTTTATTATAGTCGACATAATCGTACACAGAGAACGATTTTTTTAATCAAATAAATATTTCTTTGGAATAGTTCAAACAAATTTTTTGGTTGATACAACAAAAATATTTTTTTGGAACTAAGCCGCAAATAAATATTTTTGTTGCGTCAAACAAAATTTTGTCCGATCAATCGAAAAATTCGTTTGGATCATTCCAAAGGAGTGTTTATTTGATTCAACCAAATCGTTCTCTTTGTGTATGAAGTGTTCGCGACGGAAGTGATCATCTGAAGTCGCATGGTTGAAAAATCGAATCGAATTTCGCAAAGTCTGCCGGATACAGCGGCTACATTTGCAGGTGATACTTTGCACCTCCCGCGGCCGTTATCGTAAACTCGTACGGTCATACATTCTCGCAAGTAGGACACGCGACACTGATCAACTAAAAATAGATATCGTATGCAGAAATGCATTTGTCTATAGGCATTGCGTAAGGGTTAAGCTTGACGTCAATGATCGCGCGAGTAGGTGTTCTAATTATCCTGTCATATTCACCAACCTTTCCCTGCACCTGCCGAGACTCATTGTTTCACCTCGATTTTCGTATCACTGCTACAAGATCTGACTTGTCTATGTATCCAACATTCACTCCCCTCGAAAGAAAAAGACAAAAAAGGCCAAAAATTTAAGGCCCATTGTTCCAATCTCTTAGTAAGCTACTTAACAGGTTTAAATCATACGTTTGTCTTTGTCTAATTTGAAGAAAAAGCGAAAAACAGACATATGATTTAATTGTTAGATAGTTTACCAAGAGGTTGGAACAATCAGTCCTTCAGAGGAAAACGTGACAAGAAATTTATCTCGATTTTCGTATGTTGTTGTAAACTCGTAAACTCATAGTTACAAAACCCAACCAATATATAAGTTTCGTTCAAAAAAAACGACATAGTCCAACATTGAAAAGCAGACCTAACTGTAAGCTGTTTCAAAGGAATTCCATCTTTTCCCTGAACCACATTGACCGTCGCCCAAACTCAGGTAGAGAAGTATTCTACTCGCGCTCAGTTGGCCGAAATCGTCTCTTGCCGCGAAATCTCGTCGGGATCGATGAGATTCTTTCGGGAGAGGTCGTAACGTTATCACGGCGGCTTTATCGTATTGATACCGACCCGCGAGACGTGAATTTCCTATCGTACCGACTTCTCGGCGGAGATTCGCGAAAGGCAGTGGCGCCTCCGCTCGGATTACGCGCAAACTGTTTCGCATTTGCACGTGCAATCGAGTCTTCGCATACGTGTGCGCAGCGCGTCTGGATTTACACGGCCTTGCACAGGATGTTTCAAAATCTTTTTCATTTTATTTCTTTCTTAATGCAAGTAATTAGTCTCAAAGTCTCCACCTGTTCGGTTTAATATCCACCTTGCGTGTATTCACACATACATACACACACGCACGCATACATACACACATGTCCGAGGTTAATACAAAAATACAAAAATAAACAATCATCCGTACGAAAAATATGTATTGATAGACGCGAAGCCCGAAGGGCAATAAAAAGAAAATAGATTTCAAGCGACATGTATTTTGCACTGATAGAATTTAATTCGAATTAGATTGTGCATTTATAGGAACTCTCGTCAAAGACCTTCCCCCTGTTTTTTTTTTAGACCTACGAAGTAGACCAAGAAACGGGATAGATTATTGTCTTCGCGATGGTGTAGAATCGAGTGGCGCAAACGGTTTTGAACGAATCTTGCGCAGTTTTGAGAATAAAACTCCGTCATTGGCGCGAGTATCCGTTGAAACGATCTGTAGCATGCAGAGAATAGAACCGCGAACGCGAGTGCGCGCGTCTTGGTGCACCACCTTGGAGCACCTACTACACCTACCTCTACCCACAGGGTCGTTGACCGGGCGCGAACGAAAGTGGGACGGTGCGAACGCTACCGAACGGCTAATGTGCGAAGGCCTTGAGAGATCACTGACGCATGCCTCCATACAGGCAGACGCGCGTAATAACATATGCGTCTTCTCTGTCTCTCTCTCTCTCTCTCTGTATGTGTGTGTGTGTGTGTGTTTGTCTCTCTCTTTCTCTCTCTATCTGTGAAACGGTTCTCTACCGTAGGAAATCCATACCAGACTCTCGATATCTTTAGATTCTTGTTACCGCGTGATGGGATTAACTTTGTACTAGTGGAGAAGGATAGCTCGGCGCGCGTTACGAAACTTTTACCGTTGCCGACACATCGGCTCGTTCGCGCGTCCACGTGAACGTGATTATATTGAACGTGATTCTTTCTTTCTCTTTCCAATTGTCTGCTTCATACATCGTGGATTCGCACGACTCAACGTAGGCGAATTGAATAATCGCGGACACGCGGAAATTCGCCGAATTCCCGAAAGTGAGCCGACGACGTGGTCGCCGATGACAATCGGTAACTCCCGGAAAGTGAAAGCAAGCGGTCGCGTATTGCGAATATCACGCAGTTACAACGCGTTACGGCCCCTTCTCTACGTGTCCCCGAAATTCTTACGCTCCGTCGCCGATTAACGTGCCGGAGAGACGCGCCCGCCTATTGCGCAAGCATAGGGTCAAGCGAGAAATGAAAACAATTGCGCAAACGGGAGCAGTCGTCATTCTCGAGACACGGTTTATTTTCAATCGTGCTTATCGCACGATCCGCGAGATCAAAAGTGAAACGCGCGCGCGCGAATCGCACGCACGGCGGGCGGCCGCGAGAGAGAGAAGCGAGCATCCTCTCGTCGGTCGCTTTTCGTCGAGGCCGCGCTGTATTCTCTCCCGCGGACGTACCTCCACGGACTCCGGGATCGGTGGTATCGGGTCGTCGGGGCAACGATCTCGCCACGATTCTTAACCCGGTCAACCGCGACACGGATTCGACGCACCAACCTCCACACTACCCTCGGCCCCGTCGCCGATTATGTGTTGCCGTAGCATCGATTGTCGGCTTCGGAGCACTCTGGGACTGTCCTACGGATGGTGGCGTGAATTCTGTAAACCGCGACGAGACGCCTCGTTCCTTCGAGGAAAGTGCTCGCGCGGACCTCTGTTATTATTCGCGATCGCACAGTATCGATAAAACGCCGACACTTGTCTTTTTCTATCTCTCTTTTTCTTCCTCTCTCTCTCTGTTTCTCCCTCGCTTATTTCGCAAGCTCACGAATGATAAAAATAACAAAGGAAAAAGAAAACCACGCTGGAAAAGAAGCATGACAGTTCTGGAGCGAGCCTCGCGCCTTCAACTTTTCTATCGATCGGTATCATTTTATTGGCAGGCGGCGACATTAAGCAACGGTTATTACCATATTTATAACTTACACAATTGTTGCAATTGGTACGATTAGCGCGGCGCAAAAGCGAGAGAGACAGAGAGAGAGAGAGAGAGAGAGAGAGAGAGAGAGAGAGAGAGAGAGAGAGAGAGAGAGAG